TGGGATTGAGGTGCAGGAAACTTGAGTTCTTCCACTCCAAACTTGGCACACTATGTCTTCATGGTCCTTGTTTTGTGCACAGGGGCATTGTCATGCTGGAACAGGTTTGGGCCTCCTAGTTCCACTGAAATGAAATTGTAATGCTACAGCATACAAAGACATTCTATACAATTGTGTGCTTTGTGGCAATAGTTTGGACCATATAATGTATGTAGCAGTCTGTGAAAAACTGTCTGTGGCTGAAATCTGGCCAACAACCAAAATATGATGAAAAAATAGAATAGATTTTGTTTTGGCAAAAATTGGGTTTTTCTGCCCATAGAATCTTTTATTACCTGTACTAGGAAAACATGAATATATTGCATTTCCACAAAATTACATGATTTTCTGCAAAGATCACATTAGGCAGACAAGCAGCCAGTTTAACAAAGGCTGCTGTAGGCTATAAATGCTGTAGGCTATTAATAATAATGGGTGTAAAGATAGACATAGTTTACATGGTTATATTTATTATATTTTTCATATATTACATCCTATTAATATTAATTAATATATTACATTTATGATATGTTCATTTAAATGCAAATTGAATCAATAAATAGCAGTTGCTTTTAGGCGATCATTGTGTTGGTGTCTTTCAATGGAATCAGGATTGAAATAAATTACTGGAATGTAATTTTCTCTCTTCACTTTTGGGTGTAACCAGATTTTAAAATGCTAGAATGTGTAATTGAGATATGCAAGGGTGCAAGAGGTCAACAATGGTTTTTTTTAAACACTTGCTTGCTGGTTCTGGAGTAGAGCAGGTCCTTGAGGGAGTGCAGGTTTCTACCTATGAGCCTATACAGTATGCTAGCTAAAGTCACTTAATAAACAGCTTTTGTTTGATCCCAATTTCCACTAGTGTGCTTATAGGTGTTTCAAAGTTATGTTATTGCCAACCTAAGCATTCCATGCCCAATTAAAGCTCTTCTACTTAAAATCCAAAATTCACTCTGTAATCTTTGCTCCGGTTGTCAATAATAGACTCAGTGCTGCGAGTGACAGCTTAATGAACTATCACTTGCCAGCTTCAGGATGGAGAGCCTCCTGAATTAAAGGTTTTGACATATCTCTGAACCTTAGTCATGACATGGCTGTCAGTTTGGTGCTATCTAATACTCATACCTCTAAGGAAACAGATTTTGTTGAAAGCTTAAAAAAATATTGTGGATTATCACCTAAGATCCTAATATTTGTCACATGTGCCATGTCTACATCATTTAATTGATTCGTGTGTTTGATTCGTTTGCACCCCTTCAATGCTAGTTGCCCAGGTGTTTAACCATAACTTTGAAATTATTTGAGTAGGTCCAGAGATGTGCGTCATGTCTTGGATGCTTGAATTACAAGTAGCCGGATGTAGTGTGGCACATAGGAAATGCTTTTACATGTACATGTAGTACACACACCAGTTAGTATAATTAAATAAACTGTTTTAAATGATTAAACATTGTGTACACAACCAAAGTGACAAGCAATGCAACTACCACCTGGGCCATGTCAGTGTTTAATGAAAATGCATCAAACATTCATCATTCTCCTTTAACCTGTTTGCCAAAGCTTCTGAACAATTGGCATCATGCATGGTCTTAATGTTACCAGACTTGGCAAGAGAAAAATATTTTTGCTTGTTGCTGTCACTATTTCTCATTTAGTCTTTGTATGACTTGGTTGGGGAAGGATTCAGTTTAGCCTGATGTTTCTAAAAATATTGCTGTCTTCATGCTAATGATCACAACGCATAGCTTTTGCTGCTGTCTTGTTAGTGACACGGGGTATGTTAGCAAGTTTTAAAACATCATTTTACGCATGTCAGAGTGTCAGAATGGCAATGTGGTGCTTAAAAAAAATATTGCATTGCTACAGAAATGAGTACAAAATTTTGTGGCTTCTCACGAAGGCTGCCATTCAGCATGACAGCCGATGTTAGCGTGGCAGTTTAATAAGCAAATATAATGACTGGAAAATGGCAGATATGGATAATCATTTGTGCCGCATACACAAACAAGACCAGAGCACCTGGTACAGTGTGCAACCACGAGATAGTCCTTAAGCTTGTTGTGGCTATTTATGGTGTATGCGCTTGAATAGAAAGTGCTTGTATTGTGTTTGCTGACTGCACTTGTCTCAAGTTTCTGCATGCTCTTTTTGGAGGGGCTTTCCACTGTGAGATGGGGTTGTGTTATGTGTGTGTGGGTGTGGTAATATGATTTGACTGAAGCAAAGCTTAAATAGGGAAAAATAATATTTGGACCAGACCTAAGATGCTTGGCATTGACAACAGTGCCCAAAGACACACACACACATACACAGAGCTTCGTGTAATTAAAGATAAATGATGTTATTCTCTCTCCAGCATAGGGAAGGAAAGCGTGTCTGCTGGTGGAGCTTTTCTGGAACATTTTGTGCTAATGATCAACATTATTACAGTTCAGAATATAACTAGCATGAATCACAAGAAAAGCCACTTTTTGTAGCTGGAAAGCTAAAGCCTAACTCTGGTTTTGTCATGTGAATCCGCCAATTGTAATTTATGGATTTTTATGTGTCAGAATTCAATGCAGCAATTTTACTGTGAGCTCCAATGTCATCAATCTGACTTTTAATTAGCATTTACAGAACAAAAAAGCTGTCTGTACTTCTGTGAGTCTTAGAAATAACGCAACACCTTAAGAAATATTTTCTGTTACATCACCAGAGACAAAATGCAGAAAATATTAGTCTGGCAGTAGTATTCACTATGATGCTATGCGTATCTACTCTCTGTATATTAATTACACTACATCAGAATTAGGTCCAGTTTTCAGCTGGTGGATTAAATTTATAGTTAACTAGAAAGCTAATTATCTTTCCAAGCAAGTTACTCTCGTTACTCTTGCTTCATGTGACAGGATTATACACCGATCAGCCACAATATTAAAACCACTGACAGGTGAAATGAATAACATTGATTATCTGGTTACAATGGCCCTGTCAAGGGGTGGGATATATTAGGCAGCTAGTGAATAGTCATTTTTCAAAGTTGATGTGTTGTAAGCAGGAAAAATGGGCAAGTATAAGGATCTGAGCGATACTTTGACAAGGGACAAAATGCGATGGCTAGACAACTGGTGCAGAGCATCTCCAAAATGGCAAATGGGGTGTTCCTGGTATGGAGTGGTTAGTACCTACCAAAAGTGGTCCAAGGAAGGACGACCGGTGAACCAGGTCATGTGCATCCAAGGCTTGTTGATGCTTGTGAGGAGCAGAGGCTAGCCCGTCTGGTCTGATCCCATAGAAGAGCTATTGTAGCACAAATTGCTGAAAAAGTTAATGGTGTCTGTGACAGAAAGGTGTAACAACACACAGTGCATCGCAACTTGCTGCGTAGCCACAGACCTGTCAGAGTGCCCATGCTGATCCCTGTCCACCGCAGAAAGTGCCTACAATGGGCATGTCAGCATCAGAACTAGACCATGGAGCAATGGAAGAAGGTGGCCTGGTCTGAGGAATCACGATTTCTTTTGCATCATGCGGACGGCCGGGTGCATATGTGTCGCTTACCTGGGGAAGAGATGGCACCAGGATGCACTATGGGAAGAAGGCAAGCTGGAGGAGGCAGTGTGATGCTCTGGGCAATGTTCTGCTGGGAAACCTTGGGTCCTGGCATTCATGTGGATGTTACTTTGACACGTACCACCTACCTTAACATTGCTGCAGACCAGGTACACCCCTTCATGGCAACGGTATGCCCTAATGGCAGTGGCCTCTTTCAGCAGGATAATGCGTCCTGCCACACTGCAAATATTGTTCAGGAATGGTTTGACGAACATGACAAAGAGTTCCAGGTGTTGACTTGGCCTCCAGGTTCCCCAGATCTCAATCCGATTGAGCGTCTGTGGGGTGCGCTGGACAAACAAGTCCGATCCATGGAGGCCCCACCTCGCAACTTACAGGACTTAAAGGATCTGCTGCTAACGACTTGGTGCCAGATACCACAGCACACCTTCAGAGGTCTTGTGGAGTCCATGCCTCGACGGGTCAGAGCTATTTTGGCGGCACAAGGGGGACCTACACAATATTAGGTATATTAGTATATTTTAAATATATTAGTATATAATGATATTAGTATCATTAAAATCTACCAGAAATGATGTTTGTACTTATTCCATGCCAACAGAAAACATTATTAGAACTTTCAGTAAGTACATGTTTTAGGAAGGTTATACTTTGCCATTCCAGAAATAACAATCCTATGTCATTTCTTCTGTAACAAAATGTTTGTCATACAATATTATTAGAATATTGTTCACATTAAAGTGTTCCAGCAATAAAAGGGTTGGAGCAATGTTGTACGAACGCTTATAAATGTTCTCAAAACACCCAGAAATCTTGATTGAACTTTTTTTAAATAGAAGTCACTACAACTCTAATGTTCAGAAAACAATCTTTTTCATTTTATTTTTTATTTTATTTATTATTTTTGTTTGTTTTTTTAAGTGTTCAGAAAACATTAATTTTTCCAATTCTTCATGCAAACACTTACAAAACTACACATTGTTGCATTACTGAAATTTGTAAAATTCAATGGCAAAATAATAAATGAAAATTATGGGCGTTTTGGTTAACACATCCCAAAATGACAAGGACATACCTACAGTGTGTAGCACTATTAACCCTTGGAGGAACAGCAAGCTAGGTGCTACACACTGTATGTGTGTGTCTTTGCTATTTTTAGTAGCATGAACAGATGTCATTTTAAATGTTTTTGATGTTTTTATAATTGTTATTAAATATTGCAGTGAATTTTTAATTACTTACAGTTCATTATTACTTATAAAGGTTGTAACAAACATTACAAGGTATTGGAATGAATAGTGACATTTGAGTTACAACATTATATTGTGTAAGTTATGTAAGAAATTAAACATAATGAGGCGTCATGTTATAGGAAAATAATCTACATTGGGGTGGTAGGGTCCCTGTAGGACTAGTGGTTAGGCCACAATGCTCTCAGCGTTACGGCTAGGGTTCGATTCCCGGCCAGGGAACCAGCCCCAGCCACTGGGGTTGCACGCAACAGTGCGCTTTCAGTCGGGGGTTGGTCCCAAGCCCAGATTAAATTTGGGAGGGTTGCGTCAGGAAGGGCATCCAGCATAAAAACTATGCCAAATCAAATACACGGACCAATGATCCACTGTGGTGACCCCTAACGGGAGCAGGTGAAAGAGGAACAACAACAATCTACATTAGGGTGGTGTGATATGGACCTTGTGAAGCACTCTAAAGTTTTTTTATTTGTTTTTTTGTTTTTTTTTGCATAACAGCACATCTTGAAATGTTTTATTCATCTTTTATCACAACAATTTGATAATGAAAGTAATTTATTTGTGAATGACACATTGTGCACAAATCCAGGGGCAGAAACCGTTGCAACGTGCTGACACTGGAAACAAAAGAAAGAAAACATCACCATGTCAACGGTTATAAATTTTTCTTTGTTAAATATTAACACATTTTCTTAATCTGTTTATTATTAGTCTTAAATTATGTAAAGCATCCATCATACAAGTCCCTGTGTAAGCTGTTACTATAAAGATGATAACATATTAGAGATCAACTATTTCTGAATCGAGAATACAACAGTGCTGTGGTATTTCAAGGAATTATACTGTATATAGCACATTATTATTTATGGCATTATTATTTAATAAATATTTATTATATTATATACAGTTGAGGTCAAAAGTTTACATCCCCCTTTCAGAATCTGCAAAATGTTAATTATTTTACCAAAATAAGAGGGATCATACAAAATGCATGTTATTGTTTATTTAGTGCTGACCTGAATAAGATATTTCACATAAAAGATGTTTACATATAGTCCACAAGAGAAAGTAATAGTTGAATTTATAAAAATGACCCCATTTAAAAGTTTACATCCACTTGATTCTTAATACTGTGTTGTTACCTGAATGATCCACAGCGGTGTTTTTTTGTTAAACAATAAACATGCATTTTGTATGATCCCTCTTATTTTGGTAAAATAATTAACGTTTTGCAGATTCTGAAAGGGGGATGTAAACTTTTGACCTCAACTGTATGTTAGCTTTTTCACTGCAACTACCTCAGGTGGATGTTGCACAGAATTGTAAAGTACATATCTGCACTTTATGCCACATGGTCCATACTTTTTCTGCTATCTATCTTTATATATTTTGTATCATTTTTATATTATTGTTTTATGTCACTGGACAGTCATAAAAAGCATTTCACTGCACATTGTACTGTGTATGGTTGTGACCAATAAAATTTGAATTTATTAGAGTATTAGAGTTTATAAAATGCTTAAAAGGAATCATTACCAACTCACAATGAATTATATGTAAAACTATAATAATTTATGAATATGAACTTCATAGAAAGTGTTACCATAAGCTCATTAGAAAAAAATGCAGCCTTGTACAAACAAAAAGAATTGAGGGAGTGGGTGGGATTGGTCAAGAGTGTATGGAAACAAATTGGATTAGGATTTTAAAAAAAAAAAAAAAAACGGTCTTGCACACATCTCTACTGTTGCACATAGAATAATAGTGGCTAACCTCCTGCACCTGCTAATATAAAAATGTGATATAAGGCATCATTCTCCTGCCATTCTCTGCTCATTATGTCATCAATACCCATCTCTGTCCATCATCACACCATTACCCTGTTCATGACCCCTCAATGTGTAGCCATAACCTGTCATCTTGAACACCCTTCAGTGCCATTTTAAACAGATTTTAGAGGTAGAGTCAGCCATTGCTGACTGCATCAGCGTCTCTCTGAGAGCATCCTTCTTTCTCTTTAATTCTCTTTCTCTCTCTGGCTCCGTGCATTAAGGCATAGACTTTTACAGATGAATGAGGGTAGTGAATAGCACATTAGAGTCAATCTAAACCTAAATCACCTCAAATTTATTTCACCTAAAGCATCCTGTAGTATTAGTCATTGTATATGCATTCTTTCTGTCTCTCTCCTTCTCTCCGTCTCTTTGTATCTCTACCCTGGATTGGATTTGCTCTTATAGTATATCATTTCCCCTACCTAATGTGCATTTCAGATACTTTGATTCTGTGTGTGTTTGCCCCTAAATGCTCATAAATCTGAGAAACAATCTTTTCTTCGCCTGTCCCTCCAAGGCTTTTGACCTTTGAGTCTTTTCCCTTTTATTTCTAAAGGAAAGAGAACAAGGAAAAAATAAATAAATGAAATAAATAGAATGTCTTTGCCTGTGATGGTTTAATAAAAGAATACCTCTATGACCTCTCTGCATCAATATTTTAGCTTCAGCAGGCATTAAGGAAAACCGAAGCATATTAGCATCCTCCTTTACAAAGCAGAGATCAGAGCTTCAAAAGGTTCCCCAAGGAAAATACAGTGTAAATACAAACATCGACTTAGATATTACGTACATGATTTCAAATGCAAAGAAGCTTTATATGTACGAGGAGATTACTAGCAGCACAGGACATTATTAGTAAGTGCTTTGATGCTATGTTCTAGACACATCAGTTAGAATTTAATAAATGTTCGAATAAACACAAACATATGCAACTTTAATATCCCTTTTATTTTGTGTTTACGGTTCATCTTCTCATTAAGACAACATTTTACAGAAAGTATTCAGGGCTAATCCCTGTGCTAACACTTGAAATGTAAACCCACTTGCTCTCAGTTACCAATACCTGCCCCAGACAGAATTTCCTTTCATGGATGGCCTTGGCCTCTGAAGCTCCTAGTTGATCCAGCCCTGCGGGGAGCCTTGGCCTGGCCGGTCCTGTCCTAATTCTCCTTTGAGGAGCTCCAGTGGAGTTGCAAGGCACCTCTTGAGTGGCCAGAACTATGGGAATAATCCCTTGGCCTTGGCAGGGACGGAAAAAAAAAATCATCAACCTAGAAGCAGGGCAGATGAAAAGTGGCTGGCATGGTAGTCCACCACACAAACTCAGTGGGAAGGTATGGATCTATAGGTCGCACTGCAGGAGTAGGTTGAAATCACACCGTGACCATGAGACTGCCCTATACCTCATACCTTTTTTTCACTCCACAGACCATATGCTTTGGCTATAAATCCAAACATAGCCAATTGCTAAAGGCAACACACAGGTTAATACAATAATCTACTTAATGTGGGGAAAAAAAGAGAAAGAAAATAGATACGCCACATTGACCAAGTTCACTCTAATTAACTTTACTTTCAACCCCAAATACCACACGAATTCAAATAAGCTTCAATATCCTTCATGCAGACATTTTTAGTCTGCCTTCAATAAAGATGAAGGATTGAACCTGATATTAATAGTTTTCTCCTTAGATAATAATACACCGGGATCTCAAATGTCGACTGAAGGAAAACAAATGTATCAGTGTCGAGGTTGATTTCATGCTCCATGTTCAGGTGGTATTAAAAAGCCCCATGCTGACTTATTTCCCCTCACCCATTCTCTTCATTTGGCTATGAGTAAGCTATGAAGAAGGGCATCTGACGGGATATGGGTGACACAGGGAGTGTGATGATCTCAAAGAGGAGGAATGAGGAGAAAAAGGGAAATAAAAATGAAGGGTTAGTCACTCCTGAGCTAAACTGGGAAAGATGATGTGACGTAGTGAAACCTGCCGTGCATTGGAAGGCTGTGCTTTTGTGCGTAGCCACCTGGCAGGGAGGAATAGAGGGAGCTAAGCAGTAAGGAGATTAAAAAACAGGAGGAGAGGGGATATGGAGTGGAAGAATGAAGCTCTAGAGGAGAGCGGGGCCGAAGTGGGGGCTTTTAGTTTCCTACTGGTTTGGGGTGGATAAGGCTTTTTAGTGCCCTGATGCGTCCCGTAAGTGTTACGCTGTGAACTTGACCTAAACCTGATCTTTGAGTGTATTTGTGTGTGAGTGGATGGAAGATATCAGTGTGAAAAAGTGAATCTAAAAATCATATTAACCTTGGAAAATAATGCTGATTCACTGCTGATTCAAATTTCTATTAGACCAAAGAGGTCACTCAGCTGGACTTGTGAACTTTAATGATTTTTTTTTCCTCATTTCCACTGACCAGACAAATCGCCGCAGACTTCAGCATGACACCCTATAAATTCCACCATAGCTCATTTATCATGTCTACTCCTGTTGCGCACAGGAGAAGAAGGTCTGGGAAAAGATAGGAATGGAGAGAGAATCAGTAAATGCTGAAAAGGCTATGATCTACAGTAGAAACCCTGGTGTTTGTAACCCTGACACAGACCTCACAGTGGAAGCTTATTAGATCGCTATCCAATCCTATCATGTACAATGCTATCCCACAATGCCCTGGGCTGGGGACGGCGCCGGGGTGAATCAAAACCAATGCAATTTGTGTGCTGTTCTGCAAGATTAAATCCAGCAGAGGGACTAGAGTAAAGTATAGGCTTAGATGTTGAGCAAGACTGTGGGAAATGTGTGCGATTATGGCAGACATTTTAATGCAGTCAAAGCCGATGTAATTTAATGAATGCAGTATCAAAATAGTGATATACACTCTTAGAATAAAAGGTTCAATCTAACACAAAGGGTTCTTTAATTTGTCCCTCTGGGAAATCCTTTAAAGGTCTTATGTAGAATCTGACAACAGAGGATTTTCCTTTCAGAAAAAATTTCCATTTAGAAAACGTAACACTTTTGAAATCTTTGCATTTTCTTTAAATAAATTCCTTTTTCTTTTACTTGTAAGAACAATATGTAGCAGGTAGTGGTGATGCAGTGGTGACCTCTTGTCATTCTACGTATAACCCTACAACAGGGAATTTCTCTTTCAGAAAGGGTTTGAAGTAAAACCACTGACTATCCAAAGAACCCTTGTGGATGTTTCTTTTTTCTTAAGTGTATACACTTTTATTTTTACTAGCATAAAAGAAAGAACAGGTCACTGAATAGTGTGGGAAGAGATAATTATTTAGCTATATTATATCACTATATACAGTATATGATTCTTTAGAGGACACTAGGTAGCATTACGGCCTCACAGCTCCAGGGTCCCTGGTTTGG